GCTGACTCACTGATAGTACACTACAAATAAATGTAGACTGAGCTACAATTATAGCTTTTGCTTATGAAATTGAGAAAAGAAGAAGGGTCAGGAGAAAAAATTATTGGCATAGTAAGAACTAGTTTTGCAAATGAGCATGTTGTTTGTAAAAGTAAAGAAAGCTCTTATTTTTAAGATGCAATGTCAATGAGGAAAGCAGCCTTGGTTGGTGGACTTATAAAGCCAATTCATACTTGAATTTGTTTTCACACAGTAGTTACTATAGTTTTTTTTATCTTAATTATCAATAAATGTAGTCTCATAAACTGGAGGTTTTAAATTGTAACTTTCATGGTTTTAATTTACCTTCAACCTTTATGTACAGAGTACACTCCAGAGAACCCCAAGATAATGACAAAATGTTCTCACCATTTCCACCTTGGCTGCATTTATGAATGGATGGAGAGAAGTGACAGCTGCCCTGTTTGTGGGAAGGTGAGTTTTTTCTCTTTTATGTGCATGATTGTAGCTTATTAACTTGCATTACTGGCTTAAATCTTCAAATTTAGGTATCATCGACTTGCATTAGTGCTAACTGTTCGTTTTCACACTTTTCCTCTCACATGTGAGAAGTGTGATGGTTTATGGCTTGGAACATCCAAATGGACTGTTACAAAACATAGTCTGGAATTTTCTTTTTTTGCTTGTTCATTTGGATTTGAACTTTGAAATCTGTGATGGGGGAGTTAATATATATATGTATATATTAATGTTGTTCTCATTTCCTGACATTATATTTTAGCTGTTAAGATTTTATTGACTTATATATATATAATATAGTAGCTGTCAAGGAAACACTAGTTAAAAAGAAAGCAATGATAGGTATGAAGTTGGGTATTATTGTTTATGTTTTTATTCTCGGTTAGATGAAATAAATACTTTGTTAATGCAATATATCACAAGCTTATGACAAATCTTTTTATTAAGGTTTGTGACATAATTTAGATCGATTTATCAGATGAAAATGACTCTCCTAAATGCAGCATCACTAAGTTAATTTTGCATATAACCAACAGATCCTTTGAATTTAGCCAATACGTCCTCCGAGTTTACTTTTTATTGGTGCCTTCTCTACTCTCTTATCAAAGAACTAATATGACTTTTACCTACTCTTGTATTGGTTGTTTACTCCAAACCATTTTCTTTCCTGGCTATACACTTTTTATTAGCCATGTAACCCTATTTGTCTGGGTCAGTAATTGGAATCAGGCCTGCCATTACTATAACTTGCAGGTTTTGGCCTCACCTGATTAGGAACTCGTTTCAGGCTTTGATAGACTTTTTACTTTTTACTTGTTTAATGATTGAGCTTGGTTGATTTGTTTGGCATTTGGTGGACATTCAGACCTGTTTGATGGCTTATTTGGAAATCTGATGTGCTATTTGAAGACATATTCTTTTAGCTTTGCATAATATTGTGGAAGGTTTTGGTTTGGAATGGGTAAGGATTGAGCAGTTATTATCTTTTTTTCATTTGCACTAACTCTGCAACCCGTAAGGTTTTGGTTTGGAATGGGTGTTTATGAATCTGATTTACTTATGAAAGTGTAATTGTTAAAACTTATATGATGTGAAAAAGCTGGCTCTGAAGGTGATTACCTGAAATGTGATGTACTTCAATGGGAAATGTAATTGTTAAAGCTTTACATGATGTGAGAAGCCGGCCCTGAAGGGGATTACCTGAAATCTTGCCAATTCTTCTGACACTCTATTTGTTTGTTTAGGTGATGGTATTCGATGAAACGACTTGATCCTGGTTGGAAGGTTTATGTCGTGGAGATGAAACCAGCAACAACAGGAAAAAAAAGAAACTAAAGGAGACATGTAGAAATACTTTGTGAATATTCCAGGTTCCGTTTGTCATATTCGTATATATAAGAAAGTGTTATGAGTTGCTTTCCAAATGTTCGTTTTTTCTTCTCAGGGAAAAGAGAGTTTTTTCCGTCCATATTTATTACTTGTTATAGTTTCCTGAGAACCGTTGTTTACAACTCTTACACGGGGAAAGAGAAGTTAATGGAATGAAACTGTTTGTATCTGTGTTCTTTTATTTCCATTCTGGTTTCTGTGTTCTGGTGGATTTGATCGTGTACTAAATGGTTTTTCACTCTTTACATTTTCAATATTTTAGAATAATTTGATAATGTTGAATGTTTAAAAATAAATGTTCTTAAAAAAATTAGTTATTCTACAATTAAATTAAAATATAGTATTGTAATTATTTTTTCTAATAATGATATGCATCTTGGAAGACCTACTATTTTTTATTATTCTTGTTGTTGATGGTGAAGATATGCACTATAATTAAATTAAAAGGCATAGTTAAATATAAAATGTATATCAATGACTAGTTAGTATATGATATAATGAATGCAAATTATAATAAATACATGGATTTGATATTAAATATAACATATGATACAATATATACAAATTAATACATTTAATGTTGCAATACTAAATTGATTTCAGAGTATATTAATTAATTATGCATGTGTCAAGTTATGAAAATAATTAAATTAATTATGCATGTATTGAATTAATTATGAAAATAATTAATATTTTTCTAAAGATGTGGCTTAATATAGTGATGATAATACCTATTAATATATATATACACATATTCATACCATAATTTGACAACAATGTGTACTAGTCAATAGCTTTTCTTAAAGATAGGATGAGAAAATAATTTAAACTCGAATAGTTAGTATTGCAATAAAAATATAATGTCATATGAATATTATACTTTTATTATTACAATTAACAATCAACATCAAGTTCTAACTATGAAAGACTGAAACTTAAAAGAAAACAAATTCATACTTTAAATGCGGAAGTAAACAACAATATTAGGATTCACATTTCTTACACAGTGAATTAAAATGCCAAATAGGATTACGAGAATGTCCCTTCTACAGCGGTTCATAAAAAGAAATGAGTAAATGATTAAAAACAAGTAAATAAATGTCATAGGGGATTAACTTCCTCTAGCACTTGATGGGGTTCGAGAGGTAATCTACTCACGACCCTCCTAGTGATCAGGATCTGGATCCTGATCTTCTTGATTTAAATTGGTTAATAGAAAGATGATTTACACTATCTCAATAAGAATATCACACTAATTATTAACGCAAAAATCAAAGGTTGATAAAAATCATAAAACAACTAATAGAGTTCTTAATTTAAGTAAATTCATTTAACACAAAGAAAATCATTTATTCCATACTTACTGTTACAAGTTTTACAAAATTAATCTATAAAGACAATTACTCAGATAACATTATGATTTCATTTACAAGTGAGTAAGAACGATAATTTCTCTTTTTACCTGCTTATTGGAACCCTTGGGGGTCTATAGGGATATTCCCTATACTCGTGAACTTAATATTCAGATTTGTCAATTAACCCGACCGTCTCCATACCCCATCTTGTAATGGGTGCCAAACACATTATCACCTCGTATCTCGTCCGGTATGAGGGTGAACTAGATTTTTCAAACCATTCCGGTATGGGACTTCTTAGCCCCCGTCCAACTGAGGTAATGTCCACGTAAGGTTCCCTATGTACCGGGTCCGTCCATCATTTCCCAGGGTACCTAATAAGCTTCTCTTATATAGATTCAAAACAAAAACTGATTACTAGTTACGTACCAATAACTTATATTTACATATCAATAATAGGTCATGCAAATTGGTGATACGTACATCAAGAAACATAACTAGAATATTTATTGCAAAATGAACCAACAAATGGAGGGTGTGCAGTGAGGTAAACCAAATAACTGAGAGAGCCTTTAAATCTATCAATTCAATTCACACAATATAATAATAAGCCTTTTAAACAGTATAGGTAAAATAAATAGTAAACTATGACAAATATGAACTGATCGGTTTCGGCTTCATTATTGACTTATAATTATTTTTAGAGTTTTTTAATTTTCATAAAACACAGTATTATCGATTATTAAGCTTCAATTTACGTAACAAAGAATAGGGTGATAGATTCTTATCTCGGATCGATGTTTGAAATACTGTACTGTTTATTACGTCTCCTAACGGTTCCCGAATTTCGTGAATATTTTTTTGTAAAAATTAAAACACCCATCAAGTATCCAAAAATACCCTAAAAGGTCAGAATAGACGTTTTAAAAACCCTTCCGACAAATTTGAGAGTTCCGACACAGCGGCGCCGGTTCCACCGCCCACGACGGAAGTTTGCCTCAACCTGGTTGGTTTCGGCCAATTTTACAAGTTAGGAAGCTTTTGTTGGCCAAAAAAAGCAAAAAATCAAAATCTACCAGCGATGGGGTGTAACGACCCCGAAATTTAAATGAAGATGTATGTATTAAAAATCTCAAATGCGGAAGCGTAATAAAAATTTTGATTAACATCCCTTACACAATAACAAAAAACGTACTCAAAACATGAAAGAATAAGCTAATTAAAAGTGATACTCGAAATGAAAACTATAATTAGAACTATAAGTCTTTAGGCGTCTAACTCACCGTCTTCCTGCTGAATGGGCTCGGGGACCAAGTCTTTCTGATATGAAATGGTTAAGTAAGGAATGAGCTACACTAGCCCAATAAAGACATCACACTATCTCACTACCACAAAAGTAAAGGTCGGTAGAAAACAAAAACGACCAATGGAACATAATTTATAACAAACTCATTTATTAACATAAAAACCTTTACTCTCCACTTACCTCGGTGAGATTCATGAAAATAACATATGAAAACAATAACATGATAATCATAATAAAATCATATACACTTTATAACAGAACACACGTCCTACTTTTGCACTTCAATAATCAGACAATAAATTTCCTCTTTTACCAGCCTACTAGTATCCATGGGGATTCATAGGGGGTCTCCACTACACGTGAATCTTTAACATTAATAACTTGATTCCAGGGCTGTCCCTATACCCCGTCCGGTATGGGTGCCAAAACCATAAACCTCAATACCTCGTTCGGTATGAGGGTGAAACGGGCCTTCCCCATATCTCGTCCGGTATGGGCGCCAAAATACATAAAGTCTCCACACCCTGTCCGGTATGAGAGACCATGTTCCC